AGAGAGGATCGGTGACGAAATGCATGGTCACGCCAGCGAGCCTGACCGCTATTACGGGCCAGGCACATTGAGATGGGAGCCGCTCGGGTTCGGATGTCTGTGTTGCCTGTAGGAGATGGCAAATGTTTGTCGGAGTGACTCCTTGGCTCAGCGGGTGGTGGGAACCAACAGTCCGCGGGGCTCAATCATGATGTGGATGGACTATGTATTGCTTGCTCCGTCTTGGATGTGTGAACGTCCTTGTTTGCGCCCCTCCGCTGCTCCGCTGCCTGTGCACCGCTTGCTTCGCATGGGACTTTCTGAAGATTGACGTGTTCGATGTGCGGTGTGGCCGTGTTGTTGATACGGCCTTGTGCATCGCTGTTTCGCTACCGTGCTACTCATCCTATCGATGAAAGTAACGCGGAGGCAGCCGTGAATGCAGGGACATATCAGTCGAGCGTAAGGGCAGCTGCGCAATTCGTGACTTACCCATCTGGCGGCGCATCGTTCAGCATGACGAAGAAGCAACATCAACACGGGTGCGACGGGGAATGGAGTCGTGCTGATTGCAGTGGAGGGCTCGTTTGATAATACTCCGGCCGGCTGGTACAAGCACTGTGTCCCGGTAGGAAAGGAGGGAGCTGCAGGCTGCAGACTTACCTGTTGAAGGTGTGTAGTGCATCCAGGTGGATAAAGGGGCCTGAAGCCAGAAGTGGGATGGGACATTTACCTGCTGGCCGGCTTGTTGTTCTTCCCACTAGCTGGAGCTACGAGGGAGCAGGCCACGAGGACTGAAGAGTTGCCTGCCAGCCTGCACGGCTGCCCAATCAGTCTGGACTACAAACAGCGAGGAGACGAGCGCGAGACAGCGGCTTTACTCGTTTCGATCGGCACGCTGCTTGCCCCGTAGGTCAAAGCGACAGTAGGCCAAACTGTGAAGGACAGCACAGCCAAGTGTGCACACTTGGCCTGCTGCAAGGTTGGTGGGACTGCCTTGTTGCCGTATTACAGAACTGAAAAAGGGTTGTGTTCCTGAGCCACAGGCGGTGTCTTGAGTTGAGGCCAATGCAGTTCAGGCCACGAAGCTCTGAGGAGTGGCTGGGCCTTGTTGAGGAGTCGCTAGTGCGATTGTGGAGGGGTGTCAAGGAGTTATTGTTGAGGGTTGACTTCGGCGGTTTGGCTCCAGTTTGACCAAGTTGCCACCGCGTTTTGGCCATCATTGCGGGGTCCTCAGGCGTATGAAGATAACAAAGCCCTCTCCTGGGAGTTGAGTTGTCCCCTTCTTATATCTTAAGTGTCTGAAACCCCTTATCTTCTGCCCTTTTTAATCTAAGTCTAGTCCTGGTTACGAGAGGAAGGCGGCAGGCGAGTTTGCAACCAGTAGGACCGCAATAAGACTCTGTGGGGAGTCCGCCCACCGATTGCGGGAACTCTGCCGAAACCTGGGCGAGATTCTGGAGGCAGGGAACCATCAGGTATACCTTTCTCTATCTGTATGACCCCATATTACCCCTGTTTGACTACTTCCGTTTAGTTTGACTGATATATGAATGATATTGCCCCTATGACTTTGCTTTCTTTCAGGGCTTAATCAGACTGAATAGAAGGAACATGTGAGAGTGAAGCATACGTTTTATTTTTTTTACTTTGATTGAAAGCAGACAAAGTGGGTGAACTAGAGGAAGGCAGACTTTATGTGTTTGACTGGGTCAACCAAAGACTGGGCATTGTTTCTAAGCTGAATGGTCCAGGGTTATGTTTATTTGGATGTTTTCTGAAGGGCCAGGTATTGTTTCTAAGTTGAATGGCCTGGTTGCTGTGTTTATTTTCTGAGGGTTTGCCTGATTTGAAGGGTTTAAGTTCCTGTTTTATTATGAGGGAGGATTTTGGTCTAAGGTTGAACATTGTTTCTAAGTTGGATGATTTAACCTGAAAACCACGCACATAAGTATAAACTAAGTATAAAAGAAAGTACTTTACTTATATTTGCATGCGAACTGGCAGCTGGGCATTGTTTCCAAGCCGAATGGTCCAGCGCTAAGCCATATCACTAAGAAGAGAAGGAAAATTACAGAGTATAATTGGAAGTAGTCTGGGCACGATAAACATTGCTTCCAAGCCGAATGGTTCAGTCCCTTGCCCATATTTGCATTTTCTTTTGAGAACAAAATCAGAAAGTTATTAAATTGTAGATATTAAACAGTTCAGGGCGGCTAGGCATTGTTTCCAAGCCGAATGGTCTAGTCATATGCCCAAAGAAGAGAGTAGTTGTGCAACCTGTTCGTGTATATCTTAAGGCGTGCTGGACATTGTTTCCAAGCCGAATGATCTAGCGTTATGCCATAAGTAAGTTGAGTATAAGGGTTGAATTACTTGAGGATTCATGAACTATCTTATATGAATTGACTTTGGGATGGTGAGAGTACTTACCTTTGTGGTTTGACTTGTGTGTGACTGAGTGCGATTACTACTTAGTCCGAGTTTCAGTTTGATAGATAGTTGCTTTAGTTGCTCGCCAAGTGCTAGAGTCATAGGAGCTAGTTTCAATTCCTGCATTTTCTGAGCTAAGTTTATTTTTACTTAGGTCGATTTTTGTATTTTTTTGGATCATATGTTATACTTGGTCTTATATAAATCTTGGTAAGTTACTTTCTCTACGGGAAGCGCTGCCGAAATTTATACAAAACCAAGGAGTTAGTCAAATTTTGTCTTTTAAGGGTATCGTTTTTCCAACTTTTTGGCTTAGTAAAAATTTGGAAAACCTCATTTTCTAAAGGGAGTGCTGCCCAAATTTTTGCTAGTTTCAGGAAGTTAGACAAAATTGGACCTTGAGAAGTCAAAGTCACTTCAGTTTCTGAACTTAGCTTTGTATAAATTCTGAAAAGGTCACTTCTTCTACGGGAAGCGCTGCCAAAATTTTCTTAAAATAGGAGGAGTTAGATTATATTATGATAGGTGGCGGGTCTGACAATCCACTCTATATAGAGAAGATTCTGTCAGGGTCTACCTTTTTTTGGGCACTGGCTTAGAGACAGACTTAGGTTTTTAGCTTGTAGAAAAATCTTGAGTAAGAATATGTTATGGAGTTATATTCTTCATACACTTATGATTTTAGCTTGGGGATATACCTGTCTTGTGTTACAGGTCTTCTTGATCGATTGATTCAGGATTTGGGCTAGATTCAGCTTGATCCTACGAGGATCACCTTTTGTTATCACTGATAACAGGTCGGTTGCCGACTCATCGGTTTACGATTCAACTCCAATCCACTCTTGCCACTCAACCTAAAGGCTTTAAACCTGTGGTTTCATTTGTTTCATTGTGTTTTTACCCGGACTTTATTGAATGGCCATTTAACAAAGATACTAAGTATTTTATTTGCTGAAAGGGTGCGCTAAGGTTAAGGTTTGTATGACTAAAGCAATGGGTGTGAGTATAGAGAATGGTTGAAGTTGACCCCGTGTAGTGCATGAACTTTTTTGTTGAATCTTTGATATGATTGCAGGTATGTTTGGTGATTCGGACTTTGGATTTGACTGCCTGCCCTCACATACATATATATATGGATGAGAGGAGTCCCACTGCGATCGTGAGAAGTGATCGTCCTATATTAATAACCATATATATCGTCAATATATATACTATTTGACGATATATATATATATATACGATATATATATAAATACATATGTTTTGGGTGTTTTTCACGCGGCCTACTTTGATCGCGCGTAAGGGTTAAACAGATTATGTTTTTGAGCGAAATGGGAAATCCTTTGTTATCCTTTGCTTGCTTTTTAAAGTTTTATAGTTGGACGTTGTAGTTCGTGGCAACCGTCAAAGTCAAACCCCTTGATTTCTCTCCAGGCCCTAGATAATGGAGCTGGTCCTCAGGGCGATAAGAGACGATTGCCACCACAGGTATGAACCTGTATACTACCCACTCTCCGTAGGATGCAGAAGAGGGTGTGGTTCTCAACCGCACTTAGCGATTGTCCAGCGTTGAGAGATCGTTCCCTCAAGGCGCGTGTCAGCCGACACTTGAATGTCGAACACGACCCTCGAGATTAATGAGGACCGCATGAGTATGGGTACTACATAGTACGCCATCATTGTGACCACTTGCGCATGCGTGCATTGCGAGTCGATATGAGTTAGCCCTGCATCCGCGCGGTTTTATACTAAGTCTCGCGCGCGACGCCTAGCCGATTTCCACATCGGAGAGTTATGAGATGGCTACTAAGGGACTAGGAGTGTTGTCGCGTTGTTTTGTCCTCTGTCGTTTTGTATATGTATGTGTATGTGTGGGTGTGTTTTTATTTTTTATGTTCTTTATTGTATTGTGTGTGTGGCGTGTGGGATGCGTCCTAGTCAACGGGCGACGATCCGCGCTTGGGATCTCAGACCCCCAAGATGACGGTTCGTGTGCGGGTCCGATAGAGGCGTAATACCGCGCGTACCCCCTATGCTACAACGAACGAGAAACGCCCTCGGCTGGTCCACCTCTGCGATTGCCACTGATCAACTTTGGTACTGTGGACTAATAGCTCGACGGGGATACGCCCACCGAAGGAAGGTGACAACTTCCGTAAGGTGGAGGTAAGTCGTGCCTCGCATCGTAGGGGATCGCGAGAGATACGGCTGGCGTACTCGGCCGAAGCGGCTTTCGGAAGCTCCATTATGTATTCGCGACGAGGATAAGACCGACTCCTGCATGACACAGCCGGGAGGGTCCCGCGCTGCCTTGTGCGGTGCCGGACCGATGCGCTCAACAACGGGAGTCGAGACTCAGTGGAATCGGGTGGAGTAGAAGGGGCTGAGTAAATCTGAGATAGGACAACTCTAATAGCAAAGTCTGAAGCGTCTGTGGTGATAATGAATGGACGAGAGTAGTCAGGGAGGTATAAAACGGGGGCTGACGTGACAAGCCGCTTGAGGGAGCGGAAGGCATCCTCATGAGCCTGGGTCCAATGAAAAGGTAGACGTCTACGGGTCAGAAGGGTAAGCTGGGCGGTATACACCGCGTAGTTTTTAAGAAAATTACCACAGTAGTTGGTCAACCCAAGGAAACTACATAGCGCAGGAAGAGAGCTAGGAGTGGGTCAGTCAACAATGGCCTGAATCTTCGAGTCGTCCATGTGGAATCCGTGCTCGGAGACCTGATGTCCCAGGAAGTCGATTTTGGGTTGAGCGAAGCACCATTTGGAGAGCTTCGCATAGAACCCATGGTCGTGTAATCGTTGGAGGACAGTGCGAAGGTGGAACATATGCTCCTCTAAGGTACGACTGTAGACCAAGATGTCGTCAATATAGACTAGAACCGAGTCCTCAAGAAGGTCTTGGAACATCATGTTCATAGCCGTCTGGAAGGTGGCAGGAGCATTACGGAGACCGAAAGGCATGGCGGTAAACTTGTAGTGCCCAAAACGAGAACGGAAAGCGGTCTTAGGCTGATCCTCCTCGGCTACGCGGATCTGGTGATATCCGCTACGAAGATTGATCTTCGTGAAAAAGTGGTGGCCGGAGAGGCGATCGAACAGATCATCCGCGCGGGGCATAGGATAACTGTTTCTGACCGTATACTCGTTGGGACCGTGGTAGTTGAGGCAGAGGCGGAGGGTGTCGTCCTTCTTGCGATCGAAGAGGACAGGCGCACTCCATGGGGACGTACTCGGTTTAATGAAGCCCTGACGAAGCCGCTCGTCAATTGGGTGTTCAAGTTCCTGGGCTTCAGGGACCGAGAGGTGATATGGGGCGCGATGCTGAATACGGTAGTTAGGTTCAAGCCAGATGTGGTGCTCGATATCGCGCATAAGAGGGATGCTGCTATAGGAGACAGATGGAGGGAAAACGTCTTGATACTCGCGAAGGAGGGCCGCAACGCTAGGCTGCAAATACGATAGGAGGTTGTCAAACTCCTCGGCAGCAGCAGCATCTGAAGYAGGGGTGGAAGGAGTCGGTATGGGTATAGGTACCGATGGCGCCTCTGTGGTGAGGGATGCAACAAGGTGAGATGAGCTAGCAGGGGTGAAGGAGGATGAGGAGGATGAAGGATCAGGGGGGTCGGGAGGCTCGGGGGGTGGTGGGTCGAGCTCGACCAGGTCAGCGTCCTGATGCATGGAGTTACAGATAAGGAGATCCGTGATGTCGACAATGTAGAGTTCGGCATCAGGCTGACGAAGAATGTCGTGAAACTGGGTAGGTGTCAAAATGGTGACATTGACAGGAGATGCGGGTGTAAAGTCCGACTTTCCCAACAACGGAATACGATAGTGCTTCCCATCCTTGGCGTCGAGGACGAGGTCGTTGTGGATCTAATCGGGACCAGAATCGGCGAACTGATGGGAGTAGGAGGTGCCGAGAACAAGGTCGTATAGGGTTTCCATGACGTCGAAAGTCCACTGGTCATGGAACCGAGGGGCCTTGCGAAGGTTATGTGGCATCCTCAAGGGGAAGGAGAATGGGAGATCAGGCACCACACAATCGACGAAGGATTTGGCCTGATTGTCACCAAGTGTGACTGTGACAGTGGAAGGGTAAGGGGATGTATAGAGAGATGCCTCCTTAACTACACGAGGATGAATGAAGCCGCCAGTAGAGCCAGAGTCCCATAGTGCGCGATACACTCTAGTATCGGTCCCGAGGTGCACTGGAATAATCGGTAAGGTGTGATTGGGATTGTGTAGGCGCTGAGACATCGCATATGATAGGGTATGCTCTCTAAGGCGGAGACGTTCCTGGTGGACCTTAACACACTCGAGGTCCAGGAAGTCGATGATATCCTCGGCTGCAACAAGGGAAACACTGCAGCAGGTCGTGCGTAACGCACGCCTAGTAGGAGGACGAGGAGGAGGAGGATCACGAGAGACGGTAGGCGAAGAAGGAGAGGGTGCACTAGTGTCGCTAAGATCGACCAACGATGAGGTCAGGTCCGAGTCCTCAGAAAGAGTAGCAAGCGGCACAAAGGTAGAATCACGAGCGGGTTTGCCTGGTACTGTAGGAGGATCAAGGGGATGGGAGATCGTCGCTAGGTGGCTGCGACACTGGGGGTCGAAACGGGGGGGTCAGACTGAGGGCGGGACTGCTGAGCAAAGTGACGTTGGAGGGCGTTAGCGTAGGGGCTGGTGGACGGAGTGTGACCAGGTAGGCGACAAAGGGTACATATACCTCGTGTACGAAAGTCCTCACTCTCTGCGATAGTCAATCGAGCCCGGGGACATAGCCCGATGGGAGGGGCTGTTGCGTGACCGATGAGCGGGTCCTCGATGAGGCCTCGATGAGGAGGACTGGCGCTGTCTGAGGAAAGCAGAGAAGGCAAGAACGAGGTGCTCGTCCTGGTCGGGATCGTCACCATCCACAGGCGACAGGGGGTCATGTCCTTGGTCCGGGTCAGTATGGGATCCATCCGAACCAGTACCCTCCTCAGCGCTCGACGACTCACGGAACATGGTCTGAACACGGCGGAAGAAGGTGCGTCCAGGAACTCGGCGGGGGCTGCGACGAGACGTGGAAAACTGTTGGGTGCGAGATGTGCCAGGGGCGGACGTGGCAGCGGGAGGTGCAGCACCAGGCTGAGATGTGGAGCCCACAAGAGGTGCATAGGTGAGTTGGATGGCCCTGGCAATGTTGAAGGCCTCAGGGAGGGTGTGGACTGTGTATGCCAGCATCTGAAGCTGGAAGGGTTGGGGTAGCCCGACAAGGAAACGCTGGACCATAGCGTCGTCGGCTAGAGGGACGGGGGAATCTGGGCGCGAACACGGTGGAATGCCGTGATGTACGACTCTAAGGCATTGTTGCCACCAAGCCATCTGATCTCAGCGACCCGTGTGATCAGGTCACGGGTAGGCGTCGAGCGAGAGAAGTACTACTGGAGAAAATCACGAAACTCCGCATACGTCATACTCGCGTGAATGCCTTGCTGAGCACGAAGGGCGAGAAACAGTGAATCCCCCTCGGCGGCGGACAAGCGCGGCGAAGTCCGCGGCCGCGGCTGAGTCCGGGACCCCACGGACGTGTCCGCGCGGCTGCGAGACTTCGCAGACGCGTGGCGGCCGGTGGGGAGGGGGGTTGGGGATTCGGGAAGCGCCATGGGGCGGCGCAACCCCAGCCCCACCCCCTCAAGCAAAAAAAATTAAAAAAAAACAATTTTTTGGGGGGGGGGTTTGGGTGAGTGAAGGTATTTCGAAAAAAAAAAACCAAAAAAAAAACAGCGCTTTTTTTCTTTTTTCTTTTTTCGTTGATTGATTGATTGATTGATTGATTGGCCCCATAGGCGCGCGCACACACACACACACATAGGTAGGATTGCATATTTCCATGTTTTAGCCAAAGATTCATTAGATTTTGCTTTTTTTTTTTGTTGATTGATTGATTGATTGATTGATTGATTGATTGATTGGTGGGGGCGGGGTCGCCCCCCCATCGTCAACAGGCCCACACACGCACACACACACGCAGTATTGTATATTTCCAGTTTCTAGCGGAAGATTCATTCGATTTTTTTTATTTTTTTTTTGATTGATTGATTGAGTGGTGGGGGAGGGGTCGCCCCACCCCCCCGCCACCCACCACGCGCGCGCACACACACACACACACACATACCATCTATCCCGCGTGTGGGCGAAAGCGCAGCGGCGGCAGCACACACACACACACACATAGCTGTTCTTTCTCTCTCTCTCTCTCTCTCTCCACACACACACACACGTTCACACACAAATATTAAAAGGCTCCAGAAAAAAAAAATATATATATATATATATTTTACATTCCTTTTTTGTTTCTTAAAAAAAAAAAAAAAAAAAAAAAAAAAAAAAAGTAAAAAAGAAGAATACAAAGACCTGTCAACCAAAAATCCCTCCCCCCCAAAAAAACTTTTTCTTAATTTGTGTTTTGAATTTCTTTTCTCCACGTTTTCTGTTTTTTTATTTTTTATAATTCTAAAAACTTATCTTATTCCAAAAAAAAAAATATGGGGTTGTAGGGATTAAAAATCCTTACACCCCATATATATATATTTTACCCATTATTTAATTCAGGAAAAATTTGGTAAATTCGGGTCCACAGCGCGGACCAGGTGGGCCGCGGACGCGGCCGTATATACGGCCGCCATCCAAGCTGGACCCCGCGGACGCGTCCACGAGTGTTTCATAGGAGAGAAAGTCACGCCAAGTGGAAGCCGCTCGAGCTGTGAAGCGGGCTGACATCTTCGTGGGCCACAAGTCCATGTTTACACCATGGTACCGAAGCTGCTCCTTGGATGTGGTGATCCAACCTTGGAGTTCAAAGGCCTTGCCATCGAACTGGGGGAGTCTGTCAGGGTGGTACCGGGGTACATAGGGCGGCGGCTGATAATGAGGAGGGAGGGGGAGGGCACACTACCACAAGAGGGCAGAGGAACTAGGGGCACTTGCAGGAGCACTAGACAAGGCCAGAAGCTGAGGCAAAGGGCCATGAGACATCGTGGTGGCCGGTGGAGGAAGACTAAAGTGCATCGCAACGACCTGTGTCTGATGCTGCCGGTAGATGAAAGGGGCAGCAAGTTGTGCCGCGACGTGGGGAGGCAAGGGTTGACCTCCTTGGAGCCGGCGGATGTGGTCGTGGGCTATGGCAAGTTGGCTTTGGAGTTCAACATTTTGTGTCCTGGGTGTCGTAGGGGGTGGGGGTTGAGGTAAAGAAGTGGGGGGTGGTGAGGTAGGTATCGTGGATACTATAATTGAGGAGGTGGCGGAACACGATGCCATGGGTTCGGACGAGGGAAGTGCGGAGGTGGGGTTTTGGGAGGAAGAGTAGGCTGCAAAAGAAAGGTGAGTTAGGGGAGAGGACATGCCACCCGTGGACGAGACAAGAGTGTAGATGACGCCAGTCGGCGAGGGAGAGGAAGCTGGCTGAGACGCTGATGACATGGGTGGGGAACTGGACTGCAAGATGCCAAAGTAGGGAGATGGGAGGTGTGATCCACTAGGAGCATGTGTGTGGGAAGAGGAGGGGGGTGTGGCAGCACGTGACTCCATCTGTAACATCCGATCCGACAAAGTATCGAAGTTGATTCGTATGGCCATGAATTTGGCCTCGAATGTGGCCTTCATGTCCTGGAGGAAGGCGAGTACAGGGTCTGACTGGGTGATGGGGCCCGAACTGGCGACTGCAGGGGTGGAAATCTCCGCCGAGTCAGACATGGTGTCACAAGCTAGGAATGCAAGGCCTTCGCTGATGGAGCGGGAGGGACTCGCTACCTCAACACTTTGCATAGAGTCAGGGGCGGAAGACGATGAAAAGGGGGAACAGGGATCAGGGTGACGTTCAATGGCAGCGGTCGGCGCGTCAAAGCAAGCGAGTCGGTGTGCGGCACGGGCGTCCTAGGCGCGGTTTTGGAGTACGTGCCGCTGGTTGTCACGGGGAGCAAGATTTGCACGCAGAAAAGGGGCCAAGAACGGAAGGTGTGTAGAAATGAGATCTAGCGAACTTTCAAAATTAAATCAAAAAAATTTAAAATCGGATTGAGGGGAGAAGGGGGGGGGAATTTTCAAATTCAGGCGAGAGGATGAGGGGAAATTTTCAAAGACCGACGTGGGGTGTAGAGGAAGGCATGCATAAGACAATCGTGAAGTCAAAATAAAATTCCAAAATTATTTGGACGTAAATTCATAATTTTAAGAAAGTTTAAGCAAAATTCAATGGATTTAAAAATTAATCGTAAAAGTTTTTGAAAGTTCAGGGAGATGATAGGAGAGTTAGAGATGAGTTGGGAGGAATGAAATGAAAAATTCCCTGACGTATTTCCGGGGTTAAAAGAATTTCAAAGGCAATTTGAAATAAAAATAGAAAACTAATTCCTAAATAAAGAATTTACGATGAAATGGCAGAAAGAATTTAATGAAATTCAAGTAAATTGAATGGGGGGGGAATTTCAAAATTGTTTAGATGAAATTAATAAATTGTATCGGCATGTTGTAAAATCGAAAAAAAATTCAAAGCATTTCCGAGAGGAATTTGAAAACGAATTGCAGAATTTCGGAATTTTACGAGGGATAGAAAGTGGATGTAGAGTGGACGTCAGGAGGATTGGATTTAGTAAATTCCGAAATTTATTTCATGAATTTCTGAATTAAAATAAAAATTTAAACTAATTTACGAAAAGAATTTGATATAATAAAGAATTTCACATAACTTTCGAACAAACATGCCAGAATTAACTCCGTTCACGGCGTTGGAAGAAGAGTGAATGAAGATTAATCCTATCAAATTAGGTCGACGTTCCGCGGAGCGGGATGAATGACATTGTCAAACGAGAATAAAAGGAGGATATAGGCATCGTGCACGTTAGGAATTTTAGATGATGCGATCAATTGGGTGAGAGGAGAAAAGGGGAAATGGAGAGAAGATAGAAGAAGAGGAAAAAGATGAGATCTTTGAGAGAGATCGGCGGGAGGAAGGGAGGGAATTAGTAAGAGGTAGAGATTGACAATACCCCGCTCCCGGTCGACCGGGAGCAATAGATGTCCTTCCTCCTAGTCGAGGAAGGTCTTGATCATACCCCTAAAGGGTCTTCTTGATCGTTTCCCCGGTGGAACGACGAGGTCGCCAGATGGAATACGCACAATGAAGGTGAGGAGCCGTGGCAATGGTGATGTCAACAATGGCGGCGATGATGATAATGATGATGATGATGATGATGATGGCCCCTGAAGATGGCAGCACCGCGAATGTCGGGGGAACAACAAGCAGCGTCGCTGGGAACGCTTGATTGCCACAAGCCCCCTCTAGCTTGAAGTCCTGAAACGCTAGAGGATCAATAGGCGAGCCTCTCACAGTTTGTATTCGTACTGGAATTCAAAATCAAATGAGCTTTTGCCCTTTTTCTCCGCACAAGATCTCTGTTCTCGTTGAGCTCATCTCAGGACACCTGCGTAGTCTTCTAGCGGGTTCGCCGCTCCCTCCAAGGTCTGGGCGTGCACGCAGGCAGGAAGCAAAGGGAACAGGGGGGCAAAGTGGGGGAGGCAGCACAGTCGCGCGCACGTGCGCGCAAGGGGGATCGGGGTAGGGCAGGTGTTACATGCCCAGATGGGCGATGTACATAATAACCGAGGATCCGCAATGTGATAAAAAGGATTGAATGGACAATGCTGTGCAAGTGGAATCTCAACTAGCAATGTGCATTCCGATACATACAAAATGGTGTTGAATAGCGCAGGGAAGATTTAGATACAAGACCTGACCTGATCGAGACTGACCTTTATCACGTGGTACCAGATAGCGAAGCAGAATGCTTGAATACTGATGACTAGCCCAATCAATGTTTCAACGTAAACCAAACATACGTCATGCTCATCACACGTTGTGAAGGAGCCTGGCGCTGTACACAGGAAGGAAGCGCCAGGTCCAGACATACACAGACGAAGAGGAAGGGACCAGACGAAGAGGAGAGGGAGAGATGGGAATGTCGTCAACACCAAGTCTTTGTCACAAGTCCCAAATAATCCCTCGTTGCAATGTCTAAAGTCCAAAAGTCGAGTCTGGATCCAATGTCACCAAGCTCTCTCTCTCTTCTCTCGTAGTCTGCTGATGCAGTGAAGTCAGGTGATAAGAGGGTGAGAGGGAGATGGTGGACTGAGAAGAGGAAGAAGAAGAACTCTCTCTCTCTGTTACGAGCCAGGTACTAACCTGTGAAGTTGGCGCTGTGATGCAGGTACCTCGAAGACGAAGCTGGAGCAACGGCGCTGCAGGTAAGTACCTCTGGCCTCCGCCCAATCTCTCTCTCTCTCTAGTGCTATCCTAGCTATGGCGCCCAGCGCTGAAGACTACAGCTACCTACTGCGCCCAACGCTGAAGACTAAGGCTAACGCTACTACTACTCCTGTAGCGCTCCTCCAGAGTGCTGCTGCCGAATCCTGAAGACTACTGCCTCCTGCCTGCCCGTGAAGTGCATGGGAAGTCCTTATGTACTACCTCTGCCTGCCTCCTGACTGCCTGCAGGGCGAGCCAGACCGAGGAGGCTGCTCTTGCAAATGCCGAAGTGTGCCAGGGGCTGGTGCTGCAGCATTCTGCTGAGGCTGTCGTGGGAACAGGCTAAGAATAGCCTGTTCCTGAAACCCTGGTTCATTGCCTGAGTTTCAGGGCCGGTCGTTCTGATGAGCGACCGAAAATGGCCCTTCGTTTCAAGCTAAGAAGGCTATTGCCATTTTTAGTTTGAAATGACACAGGGTCTGCAGGGCCCTGTTTTTCAGGCTTTCGCCTGTAGGCCCCGGTTTTCAGGCTTTTAGCCTGAATTTCAGGCTTTCAGGTTGAGGGACGCAGGGCCTCGAAAATGGCCCTCGTGTGCAGGCGCAGCATGTAACACCCCGCCCTCCTTATGAAGTCAAGCCGGGGCGAGGGCGGAGCCGGCGATCTGAAGGTGGAACCTGGATGTGGGAGCGGCGTGGAGCCGAAGAGACCGGCTTGCCTTGCATCTTGCATTCATAGCGTGCGAGAACGTCTGGAGCTGTTGCTTGAAGGTCCGCACGGGTCAACCAACGGTCAACTCGGTGTGTGCAGTATGCAAAATGCACCAAATACTCGGTTGGCCTGTCGCCGTAGCGTCGCTGGGAGATGATGTCGCCGACCTCCTGAAAACCGTCCATAGAGGGTGGGTCTTGCGAACGTCTCCCGGGAAAATCGTCATGTTCCGCTGGCGTGTAAAGAGCCAACTTGGAGCAATGAAAAACTGGGTAGACGGGCAAGTGGGCGGGCACCTGAATCGTGAAGGAAGGTCCCTCGGGTGCGTCCCCAGCGGGTGCTACCATCGGCCAAGGGCCCATCCATTTCGGGAGGGGCTTGCGAGAGATATCTTGTTCAAGGCTGAATTCTGCGGCGGAGACCCAAACGAGATCGCCGGCGCAAAATGGTCAAGGAAGACGCTGGCGATTGGCCTGCTGGCTCATGTGTTGCTGCATCTTGGCCATCTGGTGGCGTGCCTTGACAAGTAGCTCTTGCATCGGACGCAAGAAAAGAAGATGGTCGTCGCTCTCGGCCGTTCGTGGAGTGATAGTGTCCAACGGTGAAGTGACTGGCAAGCCGTGCTCGTACTCGAAAGGTGATATCCTTATAGCCGGGTGGATGGAAGAGTTGTAGGCCAACTCGACATCCGGCAGCCGCTCAACCCAATCCTTCTGGTCAGGACGAATGAGAGTGCGAAGGAGAACCTGTGCGGTCTAGTGCGCCCTCTCCGTTTGGCCATCGGTCTGAGGGTGGCAAGCTGAACTGGGCTTGAGAGATGAGCCCCATCGCTTGATGAGCTCCAACCAAAAATCGGACATGAACCGAGTGTCGCGGTCACAGACGATTTCCTTGGGGTAACCCTCGGTTCGAATCCAACCGGCGTAGAGAACCTCGGCCAACTCCGGTGCCTTGGCATGATAGCGACAAGGCAAAAACATGACGAACTTGGTGAGTCAGTCGACCACCGTGAGAATCCCATCCACTCCGGTCTTGTGCTTGGGGAACGGGCCGGTAATGTCCATGGCAATCGCTTCCCTTCGCCTTAACGGGACCGGTAATGGTCGTAACTCGCCGTACGAACGATGGTTGTGGGATTTGCAGCGTCGGCAAACCTCGCATGACTCGCAATAGTGTGTGACGTCGCAGAGAAGGCCGGGCCACCAAAATCGCTGGCGAAGTCGACCAATCGTGCGATTGACTCCAAAGTGTCTGGTGGCGGGAGCATCGTGGAACTCGCCAAGAAGCCGTGTAAGCAAGTGAGGATCACTTGGTAAGCAAATAAGGTCCTTCCCCCGTGTGTGGACAAGCAAGTACCCCTCTTGGATCCGATAGTGAGAAGGCGCCGGATTAGGAGAGGAATTCGCGTACTTGTCGCGAAACTTGGGGTCGGCTTGGTAGCCGCGGATGAAGCTGTTCCGTAGGTCATCGTCAATCTCGAAGGTTGAGTAGACCACGGTACAATGATCCGGACGCCGTGAAAGAGCATCCACAAAACGGTTCGACTTCCTGGGAATGTGATCGGGAAAGAAGTCGAACTGGTCGATGAAAGTCATCCATCGAGCGATGGTGCTATTAACGGTGTCTTGGGTCTTATAGAAGACCAACGGATTGTTGTTCGTTACCCATCGGAATTGGCTTCGACGAAGGAGGAAGTGCCGCCACTGCTTGAGCGTGTGGATGAAGGCGAGGAGCTCCTTCTTGCGTGTAGCATCAATGGAATTCACGTCGGGCACTTTCTTGCTGAAATATTCGACCGGCTGCCAGTCCACACCATCATGTTGCTCGAGGACTGCACCAATGCCATAGCCTGACGCATCCGTAGTGACACGCGTAGGCAAAAGTGGGTCGTATATCCGCAAGACCTCCGCAGATAATAGCGCGGGATTGAGAGCCAAAAATGATTCCCGCGCCTCCTCTTCGAAGTCAAACGGTCGATCCTCGCATTGAAGCTTGGTCAAGTGGGCCACGATCTTCGAGTAGCCTTTGATGAAACGCTGATAGTAGCCGGCGAGGCCAAGGAACGAACGAACATCCATGATGTTCCGAGGCTCTGACCACTCTTGGATGGCTTAAATCTTGTCCGATAGCCGACTGATGCCCTCCGGTGTGATAAAATAGCCCAAGTATTCCAACTCTTGTCGGACAAATTCGCACTTGTCGCGGTTGGCCTTGTAATTGGCACGGCGGAGCGTCTCCGACACTCATCGAAGATGCCCAAGATGATCCTCCAATGTCCGGCTATAGACGAGAATATCGTCTAAGTAGACCAGCACGGTCCAACATTGCACGAAACTCATTGGTCATTGCCGCTTGAAAGGTCGTCGGGGCATTGGTGAGACCAAAAGGCATGACCACCCACTCAAAATGCCCGTACTGCGTCTTGAACGCGGATTTGTAGCAATCATTCGGCCGGATCGAGATTTGATGATATCCCGATTTCAAATCCAACTTAGAAAAATACTTTGCGTCGCCCAATCGCTCAAGAAGATCATCGATGCGACGAAGAGGCCCCACATTCTTGACGGTTTGCGCGTTGAGCATGTGGTAGTTGATACACAATCGTAGATCCTTGTTCTTCTTCCAGACGAAGAGAATTGGTGCTTCATAAGGGGAGCTACTAGGGTGGATCCAGCCCTTGGCCAACAAGTCATCGAGTTTTGCATGGAGGACCTCAAGCTCCTCCTCGCTCATCCGATAGATGCAACCTTTCGGCGGCACGGCACCGGCCTCAAGAATGATCTCGTGAGAGATCGGTCGATCCGGCACCACACCGGTAGGTGACTCGAAGATGTTGGCGAACTCGTCCAGCAACCACAGCAACCGGGGGTCCGAAGACAAGTCCGTGGGTGAAGCGTCGGCTACCGCGACGGCCCATAGAAAACATAGGCCGATCTCCTCGGGCTGCTCATAAGCACAAGTCCCCCGGAATGATTTGGCGCCACCACTTGGCACCGTATCGAAGGGTGTGGTAGAGGAATAGTACACACCACTTCGGCGCCGAAGGCGTTGCTAACGCTAAGAGTTCGCCGGTGGAAGTTGACCGTGTGATCTGCACTTGCAAGCCAAGGCATTCCCACAATGCTGTCGAAGTCCGTGTCGAGAATGTCAAACGTCGCCGGTTCGCATGCATGAGGTGCGAAATAAACCGGTACGGCCTCGATGTAACGTTCGAGAAGTTGCTGCGTCTTTCCATCCGCCAACTTGATCGCCGTCGGGTTTGCCTTTCTCCGAACTTGTGCGCCAAGGCCAGCCCTTTGCATAAAGGCTTGGCTCATGAAATTGTGAGACGTGCCGTGATCCAGCAAAGCACTGCAGGACGCTTGCCCAACCTGAATGCGGACATACATGAGCGGTGCGTTGTTGTCATCGTACCGCTGCGTGCGAAACTTGCGAGCCACCTTGGTAGCATACGCAAGGATGTCCCCCACCGCGACTTCGTCATCCCTCGGCAAAGTTGGTGGTGCATAGAAGGATAAGTATGTGTGGAGATGTGCGCATAGTGCTGCGCATTGCGGTCCCGGCAAGTGGCCCGTGGTCGGGAGAGGAAGCCATGCAAAGTCCTCGGACGTGAGCGGGTCCAATACCTCTATGTTGAGCTCGCTCGCCGAATCCCGTGAAGAACCACTTGAAGACGATAAGTCGCTGCCGCCGGACGGAGAAGATGCCGCACACACGTCTTGTCCTTGAGCTTGAGTACCCAGCGTAGGAACGAGTCGGGAAGCATAGTCCTCAAAAGAAAATAGAAGAGGAGGACTATCGACTTCCGCATACGCCTCGGAATGAAGGCCGGTCACTCGCGAAGAGACCGATTCGGGAGGCGTCGAGAGTGTCGTCGAGTCACTCCCGGCGGTGCTCAGTTTCCCTGTTATCCCTTGCCTTTCAATGGGCAGGCCAGTGTCTCATGGAGATCGTTGTTGCACCAGAGGCAATAGTGGAATTACGTGCGTGCTTTGAATGCTTGCTCGGAGATGCCATATTGGGACCATGGGGCTGGAGCTGCTGCGCCGGGCCCGGGGCTAGATGCGGTGTGTGTCTTCATCTTGCCGCGTCCTCGGCCTCTGCCGGGGCGGCCACCTTCCCGGGCGGCTGCGAGTCTGTCCCCTTCATTGGCAGACACGACCTCGCTAGTTTGGTCAAACGACGTTGCTGCCACGACCACGGGCACTCTTGGCCGATGCTGGTCTCTGCTCGGGCCTGGCGCAGACGAACGCAGGTTCTTGGCCTCCTTGTTCGTGATAATGATCTGCGCGACCTTGTCAAAGAGTTCCACCGTTGTCGTCAAGGTGTCCTCGACGTGAGTCAGGGCATTGCTTAATGTCAGACACGACCTTGAGATGAAATAGTGGCGGATGGCCTTGAAGCCCATTTGGATGTCCGGGATTGATGTCAAGCTTTGGTACTTGGCAATCCAGTCGGTACTTGGCAGCGTGCCTTGCTCGAAGACCATGAGCTTGTCCATAGCCTTGATCTCTGGCGGCTCGACTTGGAACCGCTTGTGCCACGCTGCGTTCAGATCATTCCAGCTGATCTTGGTGTGCAAGTCGCCAACTACTACTCCGTACTTGGACAAGAGATTGTCCAACCATGCCTGGCACGCGCCCTCCGACCGGGAGTACAAGTACGCGTCGTGCTTGTGTTCCTTGACGTAGTGTAGCTGTAGCGTGAGCTCGAACTTGCGGAACCATGATATCGGATCTGTCTTCGTCGAGTCGCAGAAGATCTCCTGCCCGTCAAACTTTGGAGCTGTCTCGCGCGGTTCCGAACTCGAGTGGTTGACGGCAGTAAAGATCCGTTGTTCCAACTGTTGTGTTGCGGTCTGCTGTAACTGCACGCCGTCCTTGAGGGAGCCGACGTCCATCTCCAATGCTTCGAGGTGATTGGAAGTGTTGGAAGAGCTTGCATCGGGGGCGGCAACAGGTGGCTGCTCCAGCTGCCGGAGGCGGCCTTGGACTTGAGCTAGCGAGTCATCGAGGTTGTGGATATCCTCCTGCTGTGTAATAAAGGTTGCCAGGAGGTCTGTGAGATGGGAGAGGAGGCGAGCGATCTTGTTTTCGCTATCCTCCATCTTGCCATTCTCAGCCTCGGTCCGCCATTCCGCTGCCATTGTGAGCAAAGTCTGCTCTCTGTTAAATATCTTCTCACGACGTTGGATTCTTTCTTCATTGGCAGGCTTTGCTGCTGCCTCGTCATGCTGGCGATGTTGTTCAATTGCCAGCAGACGTGCCTGCTCGGCGTCCTCTGCCTTCTTCTTCGCTGATGCTGCTGCATGATCTGCCCGTTTCTTTGTTTCGGTACTCCAGGCCAGCATCCGAGCGTGAGAGGCCTCGTCTGCTTCTCCGGACCTCTGGTCCATGAAGGCTGTTTGTGAGCGCAACACCATAAACCAGGCCGGGGCCTGCTGACGTGGTATTCCCTGCTGCTGACGTGGCACTGCTGACGTGGCCTGCTGACGTTGTTTGTTGACGTGGTCTGCTGACGTGGTTTGCTCACGTGGCCTGCTGACGTGGCCTGCTGACGTGGCAACTCACCAATGTCGCCGCAGGGGTTATTCGGGGATAGGTAGAGAAGGCAAGGCGAGAGGTGGCAACAACACAGGTGGGGAGGGGTGGGTGGGATAATCGCCCAGACCACGCCCAGATAAGGAGCCACTAATCAAAAAAGAAAAGTTTGAACTTTGCAAAAAAAATTCGAGAAAAAATAAAAATCCTTTGCAAGTTCAGTAGGTCTCCCAACCTCCCTTGAAGTGCGAGACTAACAATGAAAAAAAAACTCGAATGTCATACTGCAAATGATTTATAGAACTGACTAACAGAATCCCAGAACTGCGAAAAAAATTGCCGAAAAGAAATGACAAGTATTCAGATTTACTCAGATGAGAGTATTCGCAGTTTGGAAAATATTACCCGCAGGAGGGATTTCCCGTACCGTTTTCAGAAAAAAAACGAATTTCGAAAAAGAAGATATTCCTAATTTCTAAGTAACGGGAAATGCAACTGGAAATTAAAATTTTTGAAAAGAAGGATATTAAAAGGGCCTTTACCCAATTCAGCCGCTGATCGACGAGAGCAGCATATTGGGGTCCCTCACCCAGAGCCCAATTCGTGAAAGAAGATCAAAAGACATGTTCTCTGGGTCAAAGGTCACATCCTGGCTAAAGCAAAGACAATGTCAAAGGTCATGGTTGGACCCTGGACGAACAATCACCATGTTTAGATTTGGAGGTCACATCTGTTCGCCAAGGGCAGTGCAAGTCATGTCTATTCAAACAAGGGATGCGTCTCTACGTGCAGTCAATGTGTCTGTTCGTGCAGGAAGAGTGTCTGTTCGTGCATTGGGTGTGTCTGTCCAGCAGAAGTCAAAGAGTTAAGTTCCAGTCCGGATTCAAGTCAGAAAGAAAGTCTAGATTCAGATTGGGAGTCCGAAATCAAGGCCTGAAGGCCGCAGCAGCAGCAACCCTTGAAGGAAAGGGATCTCGGACACATACACAAAGGCTGGGACTGGGAAAGGACCACGACAGGCAGAATTCAGACCTCGCCAGGGGAGGCCAGCACTATAAGAAACGAGGCAGCCTCCCGCACAGGGGATTCCCATTAGCATTGATGCGTGGAAGTGCTGAGGCACTTGTGCGCTGTAGTGCAGGGAGTTGGGCGCTGAAGAAGAAGTTGCGCCAGGGAGGAAATGAGCTGGGCGCTGGCTGCAGGGAAGCCATAGTCGCGCCAGCCTATGTTAGTAGTAGTAGTAGGGTTAGTCAGTAGTGGGATATCAGTGAGTGACATTCAGAGTAGATCTTCGTAGGTGAGAGTGTGCATGCATAATGAGGTAAGAGAACCAAGACAGAGTTCTGGAGAGAGAGAGAAGAGATCAAGAGAGAAAAGACAGGGGGTGGGCTTGGATATGGCGGACACTGACCTGTTGGCGCCACAATTGTGATCTGAAGGAGGACGCTGGCTGAGCCAGGTCCCACGCTGTTGTATGATGAGGGAGACTTACCTCTTGTTGGTGCCGAACTCTGGAACTCATGTTACTCTTTGTATTAAGTGACATTGATAATATAAGCTGCGTTACTTGGTTCTTATCTCATCTCAATCTGGTTTTATGTGAGACCACTTTATACGTGAGATGACATGTATGCATGCGGTTTGATGCACTCGAGCAAGTTGTGAACAGTCAGGTTCCTTGCGATTCTGGTATCAGAGCAGATACTTGTTGTACTCACTGCACTGCCATGAGTAAGGCCGGCGAGAAGAAGAAGAGTACGCTGGCTTGTTGATGATGTTGGCGATGGTGGAAGAAGAGGTGGATAGGGATATGGGAGAGGAGTAGGCCGAAGAGGAAGGGGCCGAAGTGATACTTACCTTAAGCGTGGAGTGCGGAGCGACGAGGAGTCTTCATCGACAATCGCTGCAAAAGAGAGAAGCACCCTTTACCCCTTACCTGGCTGCATGCGTGTGTGCATCTCTACTCCTCATCCTCTCTGGGGTCGCTGCTGCTGCTGTCAAATCGAGTCACGGGGTCTGTAGTGTGGGTGGTTGAGGTCAAAGGGTCTTGTCACGTCAGGATCCAGAGTGATCAGAGTCCTTTTATCTTCTACCCTCTAGTCTAAAGTCTGCGCTGTAGTCAAGGGAAAAGTATGCTGGGAGATCGTGGCAGTCTGCCATGTCGGTATGCAAGTATGATATAAGGCATAACTAATCTGGGCAGAGACAAGTTGGGAACGAAGTATTGTCCAGGCATCTGATCGAGTACCCCTCCAGTTCTACCTGCGCAAAAGGAGAAACAAACAGGTGCAAGGAAAATAAGTAATAGCGGGATGACAAATCCAGATCACACCATCACATTGAAAGCCAAATAGTCACACCGTGTCCAGAGATCAGCATAGCACCAAAAATACACCAATGGAAGTGCGTAGCACTGAAAACCAATGTTCATGGAGAGCATACTCTCTTTTCCCAACACAAGAGTCCAGTTTCTTCACACTCTCACTTGGCGCTCAGCGCCCAGCCTACTCCTACACAGTTACTACACACTACAAAAAGACAATGCAACTGTTGACATCAGCGGCAGCCCGAAGTACTTGAAGATGTTGCCCATGCAGACCATCGCCAATACAAGGTACGTGCCCTCACATCATCATCGTCATCATCATCATCCTTCACCTATCCCTTGACTACACCCACACCTGTCCTCTCTTTCACCCGAAGACCACCCCTGCGCTTCACTGTAGCCCAAGCCCACCAACTATGGTGGCTGGGCTATGGTGCTGCCCTAAATAGCGCCCTCCTCCTCTGCACGACCGCACGTGCTGCACCTCGCCTCTCAGCGCCAGCCAGCAGCCGCGAGCTTTTGCTCCAGCAGCGCTGCCTCTAGCATGCGAGTGCCTGAATAAGGCTGCCTGGCCAGAGCTCTTTCCTTTATGGAAAAGAGCTGGCCAGCTCTCGCAGCCTGGCTGGGCTGGCCTGGGCCCAGAGCTTCCGGAAGGCCCCAGGAGGCTGCCTGGATGCAGCAGCTACTGGGCTGCTGGGCCTCATTCGGTTGGGCGCCCAACTGTCTCTGTATGAGGCTGCGAATCACGCCCAAGGCCTGCATTCTTTGGAAAGGCCCGGTAAGCCATGGAAGTGTCTTCGGTGCTCGGTCTGTGTTTCTTTCAACCAACTAGCGCGTCGCAACTGCCTGGACCCCAAATATGAAATTGACAGTCGAGGGCCTCTTGCAAAAAGCCAGGTCCACCTTCACTTAGGGCGGGCACCTCCACCTTCACTTAGGGCGGGTAAGGCTGCAAACAAGGCCCCATAGGCCTACCGAGGACCCTGATCCTCGCATTCCCTCCTCCTTTACTTCGTGAGTCC